TGCACTCTTGTCTTTAGGCGTCACTGAGGTCCTAATCTCATTTGCCCAGTCAGTTAGGGAAAAGTCAGGGAGACATATTGGAATCTGGATTGAAAGAAGTCAAAGTAAGACTTTAGCAGCTAAGGGGAAAGACTCCAGAGATGCACATCAACTCTTCTCCTGCCCTTCCCAGAGATGCCCTAGATGGGCATAGTACAGTGACAGCTAACCTTTTCGGTGCTGAGTGCAGGCATAGTACATGCAATATGTTCTTAACCATGTTGAAGAACCTCAACAACCTCACTTAGCTATAGTTACTGAACTGCCTATCCATTAACAAACAATTATGTTTGAAGCAACTGCTGCAGTGGATTTCATTAAAGAAAAATTCATCTCTTCATGGCTGCGTAACAGAAGTTTTCTTTGAATGAAGCTCAGAAGCAAAATTTTCTTTGAATGAAACTCAGCTTCTAAAGACTTCATGGACATGTCCATGCCAACTTCTTGGCAACTGTATGCAAACTGGTTGAAAAAACTTGTTACTAATCTGTATCCAGCTGAGGGGATGAATTTGGTTATTCTTCTATTTTCAGTACTTAGTTTGTTGTTATTTTTACTTGTCTGAAGTTCCCATATCCATTAACAGACACTCTAGAGTGGGGTCTAATGTCACAACAACCAATTTGTTCCCCAGTATGTGCTGCATTTCCTGAAAGCATCTGTCAAAAATTCACCTCAGAAACCTGGAACAATGTCACAACTGCTGTTTGTTTCTAGCAAATAAAATGCTTCTGGCACTCTCCATATTATTCACCTCCACACTTTTCTATGTCAATTTGCTCCATAGTAATGGAATACTACATGTGCTCAAATGTTGGCACCCTTTCTAATAATAAAGAGGCATGCAATCTCTAATGGAGGAATCAGCTTTAAAAAATTAGTTTAAACTGTTTAAAATCAGCTTTTAAAAGCAACTACAGTAGGTTAACATTCTTTTTTCTGATTTTGGTAATTTTTAAAAGTTAATTGTTTTAATGAAAGTATAAATATATAAAGGTAAAGGTTCCCCTCGCACATATGTGCTAGTCATTCCCAATTCTAGGGGGCAGTGCTCATCTCCGTTTCAAAGGCAAAGAGCCAGCACTGTCCGAAGACGTCTCTGTGGTCATTTGGCCAGCATGACTATATGCCAAAGGCACACAGAACGTTGTTACCTTCCCACCAAAGGTGGTCCCTATTTTTCCACTTGCATTTTTTTATGTGCTTTCGAACTGCTAGGTTGGCAGAAGCTGGGGCAAGTAATGGGAGTTCACCCCATTACGCAGCACTAGGGATTCGAACCGCTGAACAATCCCCTATCACACATAAGAAGGAAAATGTTTTAGCCAGTTATAGTCAGAACATATTTGAATTTCAGAAGGCATGTTCTGAGTGATGTAGTGGCCATGAGGGAGCTTTTCCATTCACAAAGTGATTGTCAAGCCACAAAATGATGGCTGCTTTAGCTACAACAAAGAAATTTATGTTTTGTATACTATACATCTATATTCACTAGAAACAAAATAGTTTAAAGTATACACTTCAGAACAGAGATATAGAAATGCACTTGTTTTAACTGATTAAAAGGAAATGGATTAAAAAGGAAAGCAACTATATCATAATTTCCCTACTGCTAAATCAGAACTGCTATTTTGTGGCAGCATCTACATTTTGAAATAATCTACAATTTAAACTGAATTTGGTCTTCTGGAAGCTATTGAATGTTTGGAAATTATTGAACATTTCTGGACGGCCTAGAGTGATACATGATACTTAAAACAGATGAGTATATTATGATTCTCCACTTTTATCATTTTTTAAATTTGGAAGTTTCATTATACTAAACAGCCAATATTAATTAAGTATTTCAGACAGAGCATAGAAAATGAATATATAAGAAGAGACTATTTTAAAGGGAACCAGAGAGAACTAAGCAGAGATCCATTAAGACAACAGAAAAATACTATTTGACTAAGGCTGTTTTGGTTCAGTTGTGGTCATAAAACAAAGGCTACCTGTATTATTTGTATTATTTTTTTATCTATTTGTAAACTTTAGAAAATTATTTTAATTCAGCATTCCATTCATTATTATTTTGGAAGTATCACTTCCCTTTAGAATTTTTTTAGAAAATGTTTTTGTACTTTTGCCAACATTGGCCTTTCTTCAAAGCAGCAGATCTTTTCACTCAGGTATGACGTGAACAGATGTGCTACCAATTTATTTTTTAGGGAGGGTGGAGGAGGGAGAAATCTAGATTTTAGCAAAACTTATAAAGTGCAAAGTTCTTGAAAAAAGTAAATGTGAAATACTAAAGAACGAATAATCTGTGTCTACGGCAGAAATAAATCAAAATCTTAAGAAGTTTTGTATCATTAACATAAACTCTTGAATATCATAATACAGTATAATAACAAATGGTAATGAGAGAAAGATAACACACACAAAATTTCCTTATCAATATTTTAGCAGTAATTAAAATATTTCAACATCTAGAATATGGCACTTAAAATAATTAACATTCTCTTTTTTTGTCATCAGAAAAGGCTTAAAAGTGATTAAACATGTATCACTTGGGAAATTTTGGTATTTAAAATTGCAGAGATATGACATTTGAAGATTTTGTTTTTTGTTTTTAATGGCTTTAAATGCAAGTGCCATTGTTTAGCGTTAAAAAGCACATCCTCAGGAAAATGGGAGGTCAGTCCTTATAAATGAAAAAAAGATTGAGAAGATAAAGCTGAAATGTCATAGCTGTGTTAGTTTAACAGAAGTCATATACAGATTCCAATAATGGTGAGAAGCTAAAAGTGTTGCATTGGAAATTACTGTATGCATTTTGTCCCATCTGACAAATCTATTCTAACTGTGGAAGCTTTCAGAAGGAGTGTTAAGTGTCTGGATGCTCCCCTGAACATTGGGGGGCAAAACAGATGGATCATTTGACAGAATTTAGAAGACATGAGGGAACTAATCATCTCCTTTTAAATGATGATGAATGGACCAGGCCCCACAGAAACAATGAAAGTTATAACACAATATATCTTCAGATAGAGCTTTTCTTTCACATGACAGTAAAAAAACAGAAATCTTTGAGCAAGAGAATAAAGCATGATATTTGCTTAAGTAAGGTATTGAATATGAGAAGTCTTGAAGGGACATTCTGAGGGTGTAGAAACTGACCTAGTTTATTTTACTAAGTCCTGGTTGAGCTCAACCTAGTTTATTTTACCAAGTCCTGGTTGAGAGGATGTACAATTCTTAAAACAGTGCTCACTCAACTTTCTGGTTTTGCATCAGCCAAGATTCCACCCTCCTGGCATTGTAGAAAATCTTAAAAGCATGGCTCTTCTCCCTGGCCTTGGGTTAAGTGGTTGGGGCTCTTTTTTTGTTTCTGGTTGTCAGATCCACTTTAGGTTTTTAATTCTAATTATTATATTCTGTTTTTATATTGTTGGTTTTATTGATATTATCCAGAGCCAGTTGAAATTGGGCAGTATCTAAACTGAGTAAATTAAATTATCAACTGGCCCACCCACTCAGGAAGGAATGGAACCACTGTAAACCATTGCAAAGGGTTTAGAAAAATACCACGGTCAATGACATGGGCATAATTTTCAATGAGGGATCTGGAGGCAAGTATATTAGGACATGTTAGGAGGTCTGGAATTCTACAATGACTTTATAGTCTGCTGTTCAAACAGTGGCTCACAAACAGGATGAACCACTGTGATAAGCCTGCTTAGTAAACATTTCACAGTGCTAACAAGAATCTGCTACATGACCTTCCACAAAACTGAAAAGACAAAGTTTGTGTTCACCCAAATAGGAAGTCTGCAGAATGGGGTTATCCAGAATTCTTCAGACAGAAAAGTAAAAAATTAAATAAACTGGTTGAACAAATCAAATACAAGCTCAGAGAATGTGTGTTATGCCTATGTTTTGGTTCTAATTTATCTGTGTGTAATTTAGAGATTACAATAAAAGTACAGTTAAGAACACTGTTATAGTATTATTAAAGAAACTTCTTTTTCTTATTTTCTTAGCCCCACACCATCAAGCTCTACCTCCTTTGTCTGAAGGCAAACAATATTATGGAATGAGGCATGTGGAAGACTCATAATATTTTTGAGAACTTCAATACCTTCTGCTTACCCTCAACACCAAGAAGTTCAATGGTCACCAAAAGTAAATCATCTGACCTGGATATGTTTCAAAGAGTCCCAGATATGTGTTTTTGGGTCCAAAGGCATGTTTCTCAATTGGTGAGTTTGCATATCTCTATAGTTAAGAATATTATCCCTCTCATACTACATCTTGTTGTGTTGATTCCCTTGGTTTTGTAACTGCTTACGATAGATTCAAAACTTTCTTATCACCTTGCTGCAAACATTAATTAGCAAATTTATGTCCCCAGAAAGCAATCTTCCAGATGAACTGGAAGAAGGGGCAAGTTCTGAGTTCCATCTAATTGAGGAATGATAACTGATGGAACTCAGAAAGCGTATCTTTTATTTTGCTGCACCTGCCTTTTGAAATATCATTCCCCCACAATTTAGGTTGGCTGCTGATCTTTTGGAGGGCACTTAAGACCTGGCTGATCACCCAGGCCTGATGGGTTAAGAGGTCAGATAAGCCTATGTTCTATTGTTATTAATATGGATATTTATTCTTGACCATTTTAAAACATTTTCTCTGTGGTACGCTGGCATTTTTATAATTATATTGATGTTTTTAACCTTTGCTTGCTGTCCAGAGTCACAAATGCGAGATGGATGGCCATATAAATTGAAGAAAACACATAAATAAATAACTGGATCCAATTTATTACAACTTGAGGGCGAATAATGGAAATTCTAATTCAATATAATTAAAAAATACCAGATCAGGGATGGGTGATGACTGAGCACATGTCAAAATTCACAAGAAGTTTCATGCCCTAAATCAAAAAGTAAACAGGAAAAACAAAAAGAACAACTTACCCACAAGAAGGTCCATAATTGCTGATCAGCTTGTTGTGGCTCTCCCAAAAGCCCTGGATGAAAGAGAATGACAGAAATTATAGCTGTTTCTTTGGATTACCAGCACTCAAGTGTCCATCAGATTTCAAGAACCTTTTAGTTGACCTACTGCTGCTCTAAGCAATATTTAAGGTACCTTCAGGCAACTCTGTCCACATTTTTGCCTACATTATTTTTTTTTTGCTTTTCCAGTAAGGAAGAAGTGGGATATATTTTCTTTTTGTTTTCTGTCCCTCATAAATAAAGAACTAAAGAAATAAAGTAGTTAGTTTCTCACTAGTGATTAGTTGATTTGATAAATATCCTGTACAACTTCCTATAAGCATATAGGAAGTGTTTTTCACTAAAGACATTTCGACCTTCTGAAGCCCTTATGCAAAACTATCCATTTTGAACGAGCAGGATTAAATGCTTTATTAAAGGCTATTAAGTTTTTTTTTTCTTTTTCAGATCCTTATTCAAAGAACATACATATAATGTTTTCTGTTGTAGAATAATCCTTGGATGTTCTTTAAAGCTGAGACTCATTATATTGTACAGAGATATGATTTATTTCAGAGTCATATATTTATTGGCAATTGATTGTCTATTATGATAGGTTCCTAAGTGTGATATGACATATCTTTATTATATCAGATAAATCTTGTTAAGACTCCTGTTAAATATAATCTTGTATTTAACAAGATTGTACTTAACCAAAAAAAAAAAAGATTTTTTAATATTCTTATTTTCTAGAAACAGTCTCTTAGTAGTCGGACAAAATTTTGATTTAATTAAACATCAAACTCCTCAAATTAAAACCACTGATCCCTGGTGCCACAGAAACAATAATTAAAATCATTTTAATTTATTTTAAAGTTCCTGTTTTGTGCTGATTATGCAAACACAAATTGTCTTGTAGTACAAACCAACCTTCCTCAATCTGAGCATCCAACAGAAGCATAGGCATCAACACCCCTAATTCCCAGCTAGCATAACTATGTGCTATGCATTCTGGTAATTGGCATGCAGATACCTTAAGATGCCCAGCTAGAGGTATGTTGATAGAAACAATTGGCTAAACAGAAAAGTGTGGCTTTTATTTTCAAGAGTGCCAAGCAGCTGCAGTGAAAACATTGAAGAGTACAATTATGACAAATGAAACCAATTGTAAATAATAATAATAATCTAGATACAGAGATAAGGGATTGAATGTCTTTGAGTCAGTCATTCTCACTCAGTCCAAACATCACAGGGTTGTTGTTGTGGGGAAACTAGGATGAGAAAGTTTTGTTGGATAAGTTTGCTTTCTTGAGGTATTTGTAAAAACAATAAAGGTGAGATAAGGTAAATGTAAAGCTTCCCCTCGCACATATGTGCTAGTCGTTCCCGACTCTAGGGAACTCATCTCTGTTTCAAAGCCGAAAAGCCAGCACTGTCCGAAGATGTCTCCATGGTCATGTGGCCGGCATGACTAAACACCAAAGGCGCACGGAATGCTGTTATCTTCCCACCATAGGTGGTCCCTATTTTTCTACTTGCATTTTTTACATGCTTTCGAACTGCTAGGTTGGCAGAAGCTGGGACAAGTAACGGGAGCTCACCCCATTACGTGGCACTAGGGATTCGAACCACTGAACTGCCAACCTTTCAATCGACAAGCTCAGCGTCTTAGCCACTGAGCCACCGCATCCCTGTAAAAGGTGAGATACAAGTAAGTAAATAAAGGAATAGGCTTTTCAAGTATCTTCCAACGTAACATTTAGTGGTTGTCTAAAAAGCAAGCCGAACAATCTTTAAGAATAACAGTGTTTAAGAAGCACTGATAAACTTCATTTATGTACTGCTACATATTTTCCAGGATCACTTAGTGTTTCTCGTAGCATTTGTAATTTCTAATAAAACACAAAATATTCAGATAAAATTGTCATGGAATATGAATTTCTAAATGCACAAAACAGTGGCTAATAACTAGTGGCAGAGATATTTAAACTCAAAACAACATTAGGCTTATAATGCTGAACATCAGCAAAGAATTTCAAATGAATTGATTTACCAAATGATCATTTAGTTGAATTATGATGCATTTGTTTTTCAGTGTAAACACTGGATTTTTGCAAGGAAAGTGAGATGTATGGTTTCTAAATAAATATTTTATAATGCCTTATTGAAACAGAGAATCAGTTGCCAGGAATTAAAAATTGGGTCTATGCAGTTTAGGGAGAGCCACTGGATCTCATTCATGCCCATGATAATATGCAATTATAAAGCTGTGGTGGAGGAAATGGGACAACTTGCCACAGCCAACTTGTCATGGCCAACTCGCAATGGGAAAACTTGCCTCAGGGCAATTTACCAATTCTATCTATCTATCTATCTATCTATCTATCTATCTATCTATCTATCATCTATCTATCTATTGGTTCAATTTATAATGCACCCTTTTCCAGAGATTCAGGGCGGCTTACAATGTGTTAAGCAATAGCCTTCATACCTTTGTATATACCTGCTTAGTAGGGCTTTCGGTCCCCCCTAAGCGGTGTTCTTTTTTATACAAAGTCAGCTTATTACCCCCACAAACCGGGTCCTCATTTTACCTACCTCGAAAGGATGGAAGGCTGAGTCAACCTTGAGCCTGGTGAGAATTGAACTCGCAGTAATTGCAGGCAGCTGGTGTTACTTAACAGTGCTTTAGTCTGCTGCACCACCAAGACTGTTAATTATTTAAAATAAATAAAAATTATTTTAATCGCAACTCATCATGGCCAACTTGCAATAGGAAAACTTGCCTCAGGGCAATTTACCAATTCTATTTAATTATTTAAAATAAATAAAAATTATTTTAATTTTTGCCCTTTATATTTCATTCTGTCCTTCCTTTTGCATCCTTTCTTTAATGATTCTACTCTACCAATTCTTTGATATTAGTGTAACTCTTGTTCTGTGGCGAGATGGCTGTGGCGCGTTGTCTTGCAGCAAGTTGGCCATGGCAAGTTGGCTTTGGCGAGTTAGCCATGGTGATTTGGTCTTGGCGAGTTGGCCACGTCGAATTGTCATAGATCTGTGGTGGGCACAACTTGATCTTAAACACAGTATAAATCCAGCCATTAACCTTCTTAGCTTAAACACTGCAAATGAGTCACTGTAGTTGGATCTGAGAATGATCCATCTTCCTTGTCACAATCTCCACAGTTTAATACCACAATTTGGAATGTACAGTATTTCATATATTGTACATTCTTTATACAATGCTGTGAGCATTCCTTGCTTGTATAAAGATGCCAACAAAGAACTGATCTTATGCAGCTTTATAATATATTGACAGTTTTGTGGTACACACAGTCCTTGCTTAACAAGGACTGCTAAGCAAGGGGCTGAGCAACTGCTCGGAATTATGACACACACACACATACACCAAGGCATTTATGACCCTATTTTGAAGTTCTGACAGTCACACTCTTTCCAGGACCATATAATCACATTCTGGCCATTTGGCAACCAGCTTGTTTGCAGCATCCTGTGATCACATGACTATGATTTTTGACATTTTTTCCTGGTTTCAGGTGTTTATTTTTGGTTTCTTGGAGAAAAAAAAAACAGCCAGTGGATCAAACAAATTTGCTTAACAACTGATGTGTTCATTTAATGACTACTGTGTTTGTTTAATGACCACCAAAAAAGGTGGTAAAATCTGGCGTGGTCACATGGTGACTGGTTTAGCGACCGTAACAATTTACATCTGTTAAGTCTGGGCTCAATTACAATTGTAGGCAGCATCTCTTATCTACAATATCATCCACATATTCCATTACAAAAAAACAGAAGTTGGCAGGATGAAGTCATTAAGAAAATAATGGAATGTGCTGAAATTGACATTTGAAATTAGAGAACAAGAAGATAAACAATACTATAAGATATGGGACCTATCCTATCAAGGGTTAGATAAAAAAACATGGAAATGAAATATGGTAGAGACTTTCACAATACAAGAATTGTAGAACTATGTGAAATATAACATATAGATGTATTATTATTGGATAGATTCAGGAGGATGAAATGAATGTTATAATAAAAATTAACTCAAATCTTAGAATACTTTGAATATGATGGAAGAAATAGTCATAGTCAAATAAATGATTAATGAGGATAACAATATAAAGATATATATTAGGTCGATGATATGAGAATCTAGGTAAATTGTAAATTGTAAGCTATGAATTTGGTGAATGATGCACAAAAGACTTGTAACCAACCGACACACTGTTTGCAATTGAAGATGGTTTTATGTATGTTTGTTTAAAAATTCAAAAAAATTCAAAAAAAAAAAAGGAGAAGTTGGCATTATATGCCTTTTTGTACTATCTGTAATTTCTTTAGAATATGACCAAGTCAAAGCAATTGCTCACTCAAAGAATAAGGGATAAGTTTCAGGGTTAGGGTTAGTTAATAGGTTACCCAAACATGGCAGAAACTAGATAAATAAGGGCACTTGGAAACCAGCAATATATCTATAAAATGTAACTATCTTCAAGTTGATCATAGCATTCTTCAAAGCTGGCATTATATTTACCATACAAGTGGATGATAGGGATATCTGGCATGTCAGTGGTAAATATTGTAATAGGTACACTGCATACATACATGTGCATGAATGCAGATCATTTTCAGAGCATAAGGATGAGAATCTCCATAGACTTTCAAAGCATTAACTTTAATTATGTCAACCTCCATAAAGCAGATAAAGGTTTTTTTTAAAAAAAATTGTGTATATACTGTTCTTCAGTTTTAAAGAGTATGCAAAAATGGCCCCCCAAAATTAAGGATCAACTAACAAATAGTAGCAAATAAGAGAATAAGTATATTATGTGTATCTCTAGCACTATATGAAAATTTCTAATTTGAAAGAAAAAATATGGTTGTTGTGATAAACAACGCCAATGCAAAGAGAACCATGCCAGCTTTTGATGGCTAGAAAAATCTATCAATTTCAAAATGTCAAAAATGGATAGATTACAAATCTCCTGAATCCAGTCCT